TGGGTCCTGCATATAAGTTCTTTGCCTTCTCTATTTCCTATACTATCCTTAATGTCCCCCTGTCTATTTTGTACCTACCGATTTGTCCTTCTTAATCCCTGCACCTTTCCCCCCATCTTCTCCCTTTCACCTCCTGATAACCCTCCAAATAGTCTCCATATCTATGATTCTGTTTCTATTCTGCTTGTTTGCTTAGTTTGTTTTTTAGGTTTAATTGTTGATAGTTGTGAATTTATTGCCATTTTAATATTCATAGTTTTGATCATCTTCTTTTTCTTAAATAGGTCCCTTTAACATTTCATGTAATAGTGGCTTGGTGATGTTGAACTCCTTTAGCTTTACCTTGTCTGGGAACCACTTTTATGTGCCCCTCCATTCTAAATGATAGCATTGGTGGATAGAGTAATCTAGGTTGTAGGTCCTTGCTTTTTATCACTTTTAATATTTTTTGTCAGTCCCTTCTTGCCTCCAAAGTTTCTTTTGAGAAATCAGCTGACAGTCTTATGGGAACTCCCCTGTAGGTAGCTCTTTGCTTTTCTCTTACTGCTTTTAAGATTCTCTCTGTATCTTTAACCTTTGGTATTTTAATTATGATGTGTCTTGGTGTGGTCCTCTTTGGGTCCCTCTTGTTTGGGACTGTCTGTGCTACCTGGAATTGTATGTCTATTTCCTTTACAACACATTAAGGAAATTTTCTTTCATTTACTTCTTCAAGTAAGTTTTCAGTTTCTTGCTCTTCCTCTTTTCCTTCTGGCACCCTTGATTTGGAAGTTGGTATGTTAGAAGATGTCCCAGAGGCTCCTTTGTCTATCCTCATTTTTTTTTTTATTCTTTTTTCTTCTTGCTGTTCTGATTGAAGGTCTTTTTCTTCCTTATGTTCCGAATCATTGATGTGATTCTCAGCTTTCATCCCCTCCACTGTTGGTTCCCTGTAGATTTTTCTTTATTTCACTTCATATAACCTTCATTTCTGCCTGGTTCTTTTTATGCTGTTAAAGTACCCATTGATTTCCTTGAGCATCCTGATAACCAGTGTTTTGAACTCTGCATCTGGTAGATTGCTTGTCTCTGTTTTGTTTAGTTCTTTTTCTGGAGTTTTTTTCTATTGTTTCCTTTCAGCCATATTTCTGTGTCTTCTCATTTTGGCAGTCTCCCTGTGTTTGTTTCTGTGTATTAGGTAGAGTTGCTCTGACTCCCTGTCTCAGTAGCATGGCCTATGGTAGACTAGTGCAACAATAAGTTGGATAGGATGGAGCCTTAAGTAATCACCAGGGTGGGGCAGCCCATGTTACCCGACTCCGTGGCTCTCTATGGGGGAGGGCTCAGACAGGGGACAATGCCTCTGCCTGGCCTCTAGAGTTTTGCCTGGGAGGAAGCTGTCTCCTGGCACTTTCCCTGTTGCCAGTCACTTCAATTTCCTCTCAGTATGCCACTGTATCCTTCCAGCTATTGCCCTGATGCTGAATACCAGAGGGGGTGCACCTGCATTAAGTCGTAAGTCCCTTGCGAGCCCTTAAAAGGAGTCTCCTTAGAATCCTGCAGTTTCTTCCGCTGCCCCAACCCCCATTGGTGTTTACAGCCAAAAGTTATGGGGACTCATCTTCCTGGCTCTGGAACCCTAGGCTGGGTGGTTTGGACTAGGGCTGGGATCCCTTGCTCCTGAGATATCCCTGCCAATTTTTATCCACCACATGAGGATGTGGGACCACCCGTTCAGCATCTCTGCGCCTCTCCACCTCTCTATATATCCACATCTCCACCCCTCCTACCCCTCTGCATGATTGTGATTTCTTTAAATTCTTGATTGTCAGACTTCCATATAGCTCTCATTTCAGGTAATTCTGGGTGATATTTGTTTTGTAGTCTAGCTGTAATTTTTGTTGTAGTTGTACAAGGAGGCAAGGCATGTTTACCTATGCCTCCATCTTGACTGGAAGTCCACACTGACTTGATTACTATAGTTTTGTAGTAAGTTTTGAAATGGGAAGATGTAAGTTCTCAAATTGTATTCTTAAGAGTGTTTTGGCTATTTTGGGTGTTTTGCATTTCTATGTAAATTTTAGGATCAGCTTGCCAATTTTTGCAAAAATTTCTGCTGGGATTTTGATAGAGATTGTGTTGAATATATAGATTGATTTGTGGAGAATTGTGATTTTATTATCATTGAGTTTTCCAATCCATGAACATGGGATATCTCTCCATTTATTTAAATCTCTTTAATTTCTCTCAGCAATGTTTTAAGATTTTCAATGTACAAGTCTTCCTCTTATTTTGTTAAATTTAGTCCTATTTTTTTATTCTTTTCGATCACATGAACAGATTTGGCTTCTTAATTTCATTTTTAGATTGTTCATTACTAGTATATAGAAGCTCAGTTGGTCTCTGTATCTTGGTCTTTTATCCTGTGACTTTGCTGAGTTCATTTATTATTTTTAATCATATTTAAATGGATTTCAGTTTTTATTATTGAGTCCTAGGAGTTCTTTGTATATTTTGTTTAATATGTCCCAAATATTCTTCCAAGTCTTCTGTTTGCCTTTTGTTCTGTCAAGTTTGATAGTATTGTCTTTTATGGCTCTCTGGTGTTGTATCTTGCTTAGGAAGATTTTTCTACCCCAAAATTATAAAAATAATTTTTTAGATATTTTCTTCTAGTACAGTCACAGCTTTGTTTTTTGTTCAAAACATCAATACATTTAGAATGTATTTTTTGACTACTGTGAGGCTTTTTACTTTTCTTCCTAATAGATTTCCAATTCTCCCACCACCATTTATTAAATGAGCCATTTTTCTTGTTAATTTGAAGACCCATTTATATATATATCATCATATAAATGGGTCTTTTTCTAGGCACTAGACCAGGAGTTATAGACTATACTCTGTGGGCCAAATTTGACCTGCTGCCTGTTTTTGTTAATAAAGCTTTATTGGAATATAGCCATGCCCATTCATTTACATATTATCTCTGGCTCCCTCCTTTTTTTTACTTTTATATTTTTAAAAGATTTTATTTATTTATTTTTAGAGAGAGGGGAAGAGAAGGAGAAAGAGGGAGAGAAACATCAATGTGTGGTTGCCTCTCACGCACCCCTTACTGGGGACCTGGCTCACCACCCAGGCCTGTGCCCTGATTGGGAATTGGACCGGCAACTCTCTGGTTTGCAGGCCAGCACTCAATCCACTGAGCCACACCAGCCAGGGCTGACTACTTTCCATTGAAAGAGCGGAGTTGAGTAGTTGTGACATTTTATGACCTGCAAAGTCCAAAATATTTATTATCTGACTCTTTAGAGAAAAAGTTTGTCAACTCTTATTCTAGACTGTATTCTTTTTCATTAATTTTTTTATGGTTCTTTAAAGAAAATTTCCTTTTCTTTAAAGATTTATTTATATTTAGAGGGGGGAAGGGAGGGAGACAAACATCGATGTCAGAGAGAAACTTGAATCAGAACATCAGTGGGTTTCCTCTCACCTGTGCCCCAACTGGGGACCAAACCCACAACCTAGGCATGTGCCCTAACCAGGAGTTGAACTGGTGACCTTTTGCTTTGTGGGACGACACTCAACCAACTGAGCCACCCCACTCATGGCAATATAATTTACCTTTTTATCATTAATTGGGACGTTGGCTGTAGGTTTCTAGTACATGTCTTTAATCAGATTAAGGAAGTTTCCTTAATAATCATTTGGGAATAGATCACTATCTTTACTTTAGGCCCTTTTTTTTTTTTTTTTTTTTTTTTTTGCTTATCCCCTTTTGCTATATGTTCCATATATTCTTGAATCTTATTTTAGATTACAATAATGTTAAGAAATTAATTTTTTGGTCAGTCTATTTTAGTGATCGTTTAGATCTCACAGCCACAGTAATCAACATCAATTTAAATGTAATTATAAATTACTATTTTTCTTTGCACTACCATTTCACTTATTCAATGTGGTTTGTTTTTTTTTTTCCCCTTGGGTTTCTTTTTATTTTTCCTGATTGACATCTAGAATCACTTTTTTCTCCAAAACAATTATATGGCTAAACTTTGAAGTTTCATGACCCTCAAATGTTTTAATTTTGCTTTCATACTTGAGTAGTAATTTGATAGGAAATAGATTTCTATAAACATCATTTTGCTGAAAACATTGACAGCATCCATGTCACAGACGAGAAGTTTATGCCAGTTTCTAGAGTAAAAAAAAATAAAATGTAGGACATTGTTAAGACATTATAGAGTGAAATTTTAAAAAGAAAGAGAATTTGCAAAACAGCATTTGTAGTATGCCTCATTTATACATAATGTATACATAACTTGTACCATGTAATAAACTTCCCCAAAAGTTAGTGATGCAAAATAACTGTTTTATTATGCTCACGGAGTCTGTGTATTACGAATTCAGACAGGACATAACAGTGATGACTAGGCCCCCAGATGGGAATGCGTAAGTGGTCGCTTGCACGTATGATGCCTCAACTGAGATGGCTGAAGGATAGACTCAACTGGGGCTGCCTGCTTATGGCTTCTCTAGATGGTGGTTTTGTGATAGTTGGACTTACGTTTTTGTTCAGGATTCTGTAGCGACACTGCATTGGTCTTCAGCCTCAGAAGTCACATAGTGTCACTTCATCACACTCGATTAGTTGAAGCAGTCACAAGTCTGCCCAGAATCAGGGGAGAGAACATAGATCCTACCTTCTGGTGGGAAGAATGTCAGAGAACTTAAGGCTATGTTTTGAAACCATCATGGTTGCTTTCATGGACAAGAGTGTTGGCTAAATGATTGGCAAAAATTTTTTAGAGCTTTTCTGGTTCTACTTACTCCCAGAAGAGTGCCTGATACACAGTAGTATTTGATAAATATGTTGAATGAATGAAGTATAGGGTTTCTGCTCTCATAATGTCTTCCTGTACTATATGAATTTTTCATAGTAAGCATATATTACCTTTATAGATAGAAACAAATAAAATGTATATATTACGCTAATGTTTTTTATTTCTTTCATATCTTAGATATTTAAATGATTTTTATGAGTTGGAGCTACAACATGGTTCTGGTGTTGTGGGTTGGAACATTCCAGTGACTAAAGGGATTGTGCCTTCTCCAAGAGAATCCCACACAGCTGTTATATATTGCAAAAAAGATTCTGGGAGTCCTAAAATGTATGTTTTTGGTGGAATGTGTGGTGCTCGCCTGGATGACTTATGGCAACTTGACTTAGGTAAGCTTAACTTGATTCAGGCTCAGGAATTGGTTATGACTGATAAAGGCAAATATAAAAATTGTTTTGAAAAATATTTTTGATAACAGTATTTGTTGAGTTGCACTTAGAGTTATAACTAGCACTTGTAACCATCACCAGGGGTACCTGGGGTATCATATGAATGGTTGCTGATCAATCAGTTTGAACAGATAAATGTTTATGGCTGTAACTCTCCTGTACTTCCTATAAGTAGGATCACCATATGTCCTGATTTGCCTGTGATGGTCCTGGCTCATGCTTATTTTCCCATGTAATCAATAGTACCCACTTTCACTCTGTAAAGTGCCCCAGTTGGGCATGATCAAATGTATATGGTTACTCAATCTACAGGAAATGTAGCACTAATAATGTTATTGCTGGTCAGTGAAAAACTTTTGAGTAGCTCCTTTTAAAGAAATCCTAGGAAAGAATAATTGGAGAGTAGGTGTGCCTCTCACTTTTGAGTGTCTTCTGCACAGTGTACTCTTAGTTAAAGTGTTGAAATCCCTAATCTGGTCTCAATTCAAAATTGGTGGCACTCAAAACACACCTCTCTATTACAAGTACTAACATTCAAGTGTAAATAGATTTCTCTGACTGGCAATTTGTGATGATTGGAAATGTTTATTTTAAATGAAATTCAAATAACAGTTTTGAAACAGTAAGTCCTTTCTGGTTTTAATTTTTAAAATTCTGCAAGTTGAGGTAGTTTGCTGTATTAGATCGAGTTGCTAATATACTTATTTTTACTTTTAGAAACTATGTCATGGTGTAAACCAGAAACTAAAGGGACAGTGCCACTTCCACGAAGCCTTCACACAGCCAGTGTTATAGGAAACAAGTATGGCGGTTTTTTGTTTTTACTTTTTTTAAAACCAACTTAAGAAAGATACACACAAAGAAGAGTGACAGTAGTTTCTTGGAAATATATTACTGATATTAATAACATTTAGTTGTGCTCACTGAAGCTAAAATATATGTCCACAGAAGCTTATATATTTATTGAGTCATTTTCTTATCATGCTACCTCTTATACTTTTTTACATTCCTTACGATGGCTTGCATAGTGTAAGTATAAGTAAGCATGGTATAGAGTGTTGTCAGACCCATCTGCCCTCCATCAGTAGGCTTGACATACCTCAGGGTTTCTTTCTTTCTTTCTTTTTTTCTTTCCTAATCCTTACCTGAGGACATGCTTACTGATTTTAGAGAGAAGACAAGGGAGGAAGAGAGAGAGGGAGAGAAACATCAATGTGAGAGAGAAGCATGGATAGGTTGCCTCTTGTTCCCTAACTGGGAATCGAACCTGTGACCTTTTGGTTTTCAGGATGAGACTCCAACCCACTGAGCCACACTGGCCAGGGCCTCACTGTTTCTTTGTATATGTTTTTGGTCATGTTTATTTGTATTCAGGTACGTACTCAGTATGCACACTCAGTGGTTAAACTTGATGGCGTTAGGGTGAGACGATAGACTCTGTATCTAGATTGCCTGAATTCAAGTCTTAGCTTTGCTGCTTGCCCTGTAGGACGTGAGGCAAGAAACCTTGACTTGACTTTATCTCAATTTCCTCAATTATAAAATGCCAATAATAATAAAATCTATTTCACAAGGTTGTCATGAGGATTAAATGGATTAATACATATAAGCTGCTCCAGGCAGTACCTGGTACCCAGAGAGCACTGTTTACTGGTTAGATGTTACTGTCATGAACAAGTTCCCTTATTTGTGCAACACTGGGCCAGAATTAGGAGTATTGTTTAGATAGAACTTAATTATTATTTACTTGTGTAGAGACTTTACCTTAAAAGTAATGTTTTAGGAAACAATTAGTTGTAATTTAGAGCCTCATTAGTTCTTTTTTATTATAAATTTCATTAAATTCATTGGAGTGACATTGGTTAATAAAATTATATCGGTTTCAAGTACACAGTTCTGTAATACCTTGTCTGTATATTGCATTGTGTGTTCACCACCCAAAGTCAGGTCTCCTTCTGTTACCATATTTATTAGTTCTTTTTTAAAAAATAGACAAACTAAATATAATGATTTAGGAAACAACTAGTTATAATTTAGAACCTCATTAGTTCTTTTTACAAAATGCAGCTTTTCATTGGAACTCTAATATACAGGGTCTAGCACACATAACACCCCTTTTTTATAACAAAATCTTTTGTTACAAAATCATAAGCATGTGATTCTGTAACGTAACAATATCACACTTAAGCACACCATGTGACATTTTAGGTGAAGTGTTCAAATTAAAACTATAGATTATTACACCCATATTATTACCTAACCAACGACACTCAAGCCGGCTTTACTTCTGCTGGACCCTGTATAAGAGATTAAGAATAGAGTTTCTCTGGTTGGCTTGAGGTCATATGGGCCCTAAACTCTGCAGGATGAGCCCTTCTCCTTCAGGAGCCATTAGACATCTCAGGAAGCCCTGGGGCCCTAAGGGACGTAGTTTCAAGTTTTTTATTTGAGTGGCATCAGTGACCAGAGTTATATGAAATTTAATCCTCTTTGGTTACTATATGCATAAAATTCTAAATCTGACTTTGAATGTCATGAATCATTTGAGTATCTTTCTGGCTGTGAGATGCCCTTAGCATATTACATCCAATATAAATTTTCAAAAGTATAATGATTAAAATATTCCCCACTTTGAAGAAGTTGCTAGAGAGAAATAATTTTGATTCTTTATTGCTTCATAAAATTGTAAACTCTTGAAAGAAGGACATTTCACTAGATTCATGATCTTATTTCCATTATTTTGACATTGACAAGCAAGTAAATAGTTCTGTATATTGGTATCAACAAGTAAGACATTTAAGTCTGTTATTAGCATTTAAAATATAAAATATAAAATTAAAGCTCTAGGAGGAAAATCGGCTCCTTTATGTTCCTGTTTGTTTGTTTTTTAGGATGTACATTTTTGGTGGATGGGTTCCACATAAGGGGGAAAATAATGAAACTTCACCTCATGATAGTGAATGGAAATGTACCAGTTCATTTTCTTACTTAAATCTGGGTGAGTCTTTTAGGAGTTACTTATTGAAGTAAAACTTATTAACAAAGAAAATGTTGTTTTGTCATTTAAGAATAGCAGGTTAGTCACGGATATTTTTATCTCTTTAGATACAGCAGAGTGGACCACCCTAGTATCAGATTCTCAGGAAGATAAAAAGAATTCAAGACCAAGACCAAGAGCTGGGCACTGCGCTGTTGCGGTCGGCACTCGACTGTATTTTTGGAGTGGAAGAGATGGCTATAAAAAAGCGCTGAATAGTCAGGTGTGCTGCAAGGACCTTTGGTATCTTGATACTGGTAGGTAAGAGTATTTAACAGATAAAATCTTTCCTTTAGGTAAATAAATATTCGATTAATGCCTGTCTTTTGAGGCTTACCGTAAATGCCACTGCCTGTCTTTTCCATGATTAAAAATGCATGGAAGAAATAATATATGTAGATACTCTCCACTCCAGGAGAGTTTCTTAATTTCCCTCACCTTGACGGCAGACTGGATTGAAGGCAGACTGGATTTAGTGACTCCTTTCTAAAGAAGAGAGTATGGGAAGGGGGAAAAAAAAAAAAATCTTTACAGTGGAGAAACCTGGCAAACGGCACCTTATCAAGTAATCAAGGTTAATGTCACTAGTAATCAGCCATGTTGATATCATTTACCCCTGCCTTCCATATCATGTGATAAGGAGAAATTTCACCTTTGTGATACTTTTCCCTAAAATCCATTACCCCACTCTAACTAGGAGAACATAGCAGACAAACCCAAACTGACAGACTTCTAGACCTTCTACAGAAGATGTGAACACTACTGTTAAAATTTTCAAAGTGCAGGAAAACAAGGAAAGACTGAGAAATAGTCATAAATTAGAGGAGACAAAGGAGACATGATGACTAAGGTCAATCTGGTACCTTCCTGGAACAAAAAAGACATTAACTAAAAAACTGGTGAATTCTGAATAGTCTATATTTAGCTAACTTCTTAGTTTTAACAAATGTGTTAGCATTAGGAAGAAATAGAGTAAAGGGTATATGGGAATTCTTTGCAACTTTTCTATATCTAAAATTACTCCTAAATAAAAGATTTTTTAAAAAAGTATTACAACACCAAAAAGATTTTTAAATATGGGGCTCACATCTACTTTTTCAGTAAGTATTCATTGATTGACAGCTGTGTATCAGGAATTGCTCCAAATGTTAAAAAACGCCACAGTGACCGAGACCGATAATGTCCCTGCTGTCAGAGAACTCGTACTCTGAGAGTGTGAGAGCAGGGAGATGACGGCCAATGATCCAATTAAGGAAATCAGTTCAGTTTCTGGTCAGCAGGTGAAAACGGGAGGAGAGAATAATGACAGAGTGGTGGGGGTACTGGCGAGGAAGGGGAGGGGAGGCTGCCGCAGAATGCGTAGCTAGAAAAGGATGAGATGGCATTTGGGATGTAATCCGGGTGGTGAAAAGATGCTATTTATGTAAAAAGCTGGAGGAAAACTGCAAAGTAGTGAGTGAGCAGCAAGTACACGGGCCCTGAGATGGGAGTACTTGGCATGTCTGGGAACAGAATTGAGCTGAGGAAAAGTGGGGAGGGCAGGAATGGAGGCTGGAGATGTGACCATAGGACAGATCATGTAGAGCCTCTAACGTTGTAGAAAAGCTTAAATTGGTTTTAAAGTACAAGGTTAAGTTATTTATTAGTTTTAAGGAGAGACGTGTTATGATCTATTGAACATTTTGAAGCAGTTGCTGCAGTTGTATGGAAAGTATAGGGGTCAAAGGTGCACACTTCAGAGACAAGTTAGGAGGCTTTTGTAGTCTAGAAGTCTTAGACTATAGTGGTGACAGTGGAGATGAGGAGAAATGGATAAATTCAGAATATATTTTGGAGTTGCCGTTGATGAAGCTGGCTGATAAATTGGCTGTTGCAGATTACAGAAAGAGGTGTGGAGGATGGAGTGGTGTTTTAAATCATCACTTGGGGACGTGCTTCATTGATTTTAGAGAGAGTGGAAGGGGGAGAGAGAGACATCGATATGAGAAGTATCAGTTGGTTGCCTCCCATACACGCTATGACCAGGGATTGAACCTGCAACCTAGGTACGTGCCCTGAATGGAAATCGAACCTGCAGCCTTGTGGCGTACGGGACATATCTCCTACCAACTGAGTTACTTGGCCAGGGCGAGGATGAAGTCTCTAGCATGAAAAATTTGGTGGTATTTTCATTTACTGAGATGGGGAAGACTGATGAGAAAACAGGCCTGTGGGGAAAATTGAGTTCCATTTAGACCATGCTGAGACCATGAAATAACAAGATCAAGTAGGCAGTTTAGTGAATAAAGAAGCCTGGAGGCCAGTAGAGAAATCAGATCTGGAGTTGTAATATGTGTTGTTATATGAGAAAAGCAGATGATAAAATACACCCATGATTCCAGGTTTTTTTAAATGTATGAACTGTAAAGTCTTGAAGGATGCAATGTATAGCAAAAGTATTATCAAAGGCGTGAGATTATACATTTCCTTAAAAGGTTTTCTCCTTTATATTTTCTACAATAGCATACATTACTTTGGTGATGTAAAAACAGTTCATTTTTTAAATTCAGAATTGGAAAAAAATAGTAAATGCAACAAAGTTAGAGACTATGAAAGAATCACATACTAGAAAGTGGAAGAAAAATAAAATCCAACGTACTGATTCACCTTTGAAAGTGTGAATTATTAACTAAAGTCCACGAATAAACTTTGTTCTCTGAGATTGGGAGAAAAATGTACAATGAATTTTTCTCAGTAGTAAATATGTCATTTTAAGCACATTCTCTAAGGGGTATGTGACTTTTAAAAGGATAAAAGTCATTAGCTCTGAACAGCCAGTTTTTTTCATAAATCTTTCTGTAAAAGGCATTAGACATGAATATTTACCTAAAAGTAATCATAAGGGCCATTTTGCTTTTCCTTTTGACTTTCCTTTTGATAAGTTAGCATCAGTTTTTGTGGATGGGAAATGAGGGCTTTTCATCTTGCCTTTTTTCATTTTTAAACTCCGTGCATTTGGTAATATTTAAGAGTATTATAATTCCATAATATGAACAGTGGTCTTTTACTCCCACCTCCTCCCATTTTCCTTGCTTCACAAGCATGTATTTTTAAGTCTGTTAAGCAGTTTTTTGGTGTTTACTTCCATATCTACAAATAACATGAATATGTTGTTACTTTGATTTTTTTCAGTTTAGGCATAACACGCTTACTTTCTACTATGGAAGTTAAGGATTTATCTCTCCCCACTATTCCTTATTCTCTCAATATAACTACATAATAATTTTATTAGATGAATATTCAGTGTTTGCATCATGACTTTATAAACACTGTTGACAGGTGAGCCGTATAGAACATTGTGAATACCTTCTTTGTACCATTTTTGATTTGCCACGGATTAATAATTGTCACTTTTATTTGTTTTAGACTTATAGTATTTACCACTAATTCAGTCCATACTCTGTTATTTGCTTGAATTTTCTTTCATTGTGGTTAGCTGCACCAGATGTTCTGTCAGATTTCATCATCTTGAAGACGTTTCTTCTGCCCCGGTCTAGGATGATTGCCTTCCACAGACTGAGCCTAGCGATCATCTTGGAGTCTCCCTTATCACCTTCCTGGGGATGTGTTTTGCCTCTCACTTGTGCTGGATTCCCTGTTTCCTAGATCCCATATTTTTTCCCTTAGTTTACTCTCTCATTTTTTTTTTTTTAATAAAACACATCCCAAGAAAAGGATGCATAGACGACAAATTTATTTTGAAATCTTGCATTGTTTGAAAATGTTTAATTTTAATTGGTGGTTTGCATGGAAATAGAATCTGCATTAGAAATCATTACCCTTAAGAATTTTGAAAATGTTGTTATATTGTATTCAAGCTTCTAGTATTTTTGTTGAGAAATCCAAACCACTTGTGATTTTTGGTTCTTTTAAATGTGACCCTTCCCCTCACTCCTGATAGCTTTTAGGATTTTTTTATTAGTCCCCTTTTTCTTAACTTTCATGATGATGGGCCTGTTTTGTGTCTTATTTTTAATCTATTATGTTGAGTACTCACTGGACCCTTTCAGTCTGGAAATTCATGTTCTTCAGTTTTGGGAAATTTCTTGATTTAGTTCATTTATTTGCATCATACTGTTCTCTCTATTCCCTCTTCGTGTAACTTCTGTTATGTGGGTGTTGTACCTCCTGGACTTGTCGTCTTATTGTCTACTTTTGTTCAGGCATAGGTTGTCTTACTTTGAGAAACATAAGCAAACTGGATTGTGAATGGGATCATGGAAGCATTTACATGGGAAAAGTTGAAGAAACTAGGCTTAATTATCCTCTAGAATAGGCCCATCAATTTTTTTCTGTAAAGGCACAGGTAGTAAATATTTTAGGCTTTGAAGGCCATTTGGTCTCTGTTACAACTACTCAGCTCTGTTGTTGTAGCATGAAAGCAGCCATAGACAATACATAAATAAGCATACCTTTGTTTCAGTAAAATTTTATTTACAAAAACAGGCACATGAGCCATAGTTTGCTGACCACTACTCTAAAAGATAAAGAGATAGATATTAGATGTGCTCTATAAGGATTAAATTACTGTTACAGATTTCAGTTCACTAAAGAATAAATTTTCTTACATAACTATGCAAAGATGTGATGCACTGTCTCTGGAATTTTGAGTTCTATGTGTGGTAGGTAAACTAAAAGAGGAAAGGGATATAATAGCAATAACCTCAAGTCCTTTTCCCTAGTTCTAAGAATCTGATTGTTATTTGTTTTGGAAATGTCAGTTATGTTTATACCAAAGTAACCTGTTTGGGGTAGTACAAGTTTTGATAAGAGGAAATTAACTTCAAAGAAGTTACATTTTTCCAAAATATCATATCCAAATCACCTGGCATTAACAGTATTTCTGACATGTATAGTGTTGGTTAAAATGTGGCTCATAAAATTAAAAACTTAGAGAAGGTAAAATTATGTAGCTCTAACTATGTAATACTTGGTTCCCCACTTCCACGTCTAGAATTAAACATTTTTTCTGAATCTGATGACTCAAATAGCTTGCAACTAGAGTATTTATAGATTTATTTGTATAAGGGATTAAATAAATAAATAGAATCAGAACCCAAATTATTTTCGTTTGACCTACCATCACTATGTTTATTTGAGTCAATTTTCTCCCTCTTGGTAATCAGATGAATTATTCATTGCTGACATTTTCAGAGCCCCAGGTCCACACAAACTTTATAGGCAAACTGTTGCCACATTTGAAGCTTATAACATCAATATTGTTCTTTAGAGAAACCACCAGCACCATCACAAGTACAACTGATCAAAGCCACTACCAACTCTTTTCATGTCAAATGGGATGAAGTGCCTACAGTTGAGGGCTATCTTTTGCAGTTGAATACTGATCTGCCGTACCAAGCTGCATCATCAGATTCTTCAGCAGCACCAAATATGCAAGGTAACATAATTTTCAAGCTTAAAACATGTACTTGTATGTTTTTTAAAAAAGATACTGCAGAAAAGCCAGTGACTAGGCCTGGTTTAAGAAATTTTATATGATGTTTCCTGCCTGATAAATCAAATGTGTTGTGTTTCAACTCTAAAACTTTACTGTTTTCACAGTTTACTGTGAAATATTTACTGTTTCACAGTTATGATGTAGTAGAACTCATACATATGTTGGGTAGATTGCCTCTTCTGCAGCTCATTTGGATGGACTTCCTTAATTTGGCAAACTACTTCGGAGATGGTTTTAATGAGCTTTCATAAATATTTTGCCTTCTTTTCAAAAATATTTTTAACGAAAAGGCACTTGGAAAATAAAAGCAAGTTTAATTTTACATGTTCTTCTAGAAAGGATTTCAGTCAATTATTAAGCAAACTATTAAGAAAACCGAAAAACTTTGATAAAGATACTACTTTTTAACTTTTAACATGTAACTTCAAAGTTTTTAAAATTGTATATAATATATTTCATTATATCAGCATATCAGTCTAAACTTTCTCCTTCTTTCAGGAGTCAGGATGGACCCTCTCAGACAGGACAGTAATAGCATCATTCCTAACAGTGTAAGTTAAAAAATATTTAAGATGGTAGATGAATGTGTATGGTGATAGTCATATTTTTTATTAGTGTTGTTAGCATATTATCTTAAGATAGGAGTTCTCAACCCTGGCTGTCCATCAGGATCTCCTCTGAGACTGAAAAACCAATACACAGATGCCCAAGCTCTTCCCCAGATCTAGTCATAGCAGAATCTCAGAATGATGCCCAGGTAGCTCTGTTTTTAAAGAAAGCTCCATAGATCATTGTAACAGTAGCCTGAATTAAAAACCCCTGGCCAGGAGTTTTTCAGTCCTGAAGCAGCTTCATTAACATGGCATCAGAGGCTAATCCATTATTTATACTTACTGAATCTTGAAATCTGTATTTTGGTGTTTCTAAATATCATGCACATTTTAAATTTCTAAAGGTGTACTTTCAAAATATATATGAAATATATTTTTTACTATGTATTTGTTTACCAAAGAATATGAGTTGCTAAGTTAACACCTGTGTTTATGAGGTTATTTCTTGTTTATGAAGTGCTTCACAGAAAGCATTTGTGGAGACTAATGAAGAAGCTTACTGGCATTGACACTGGTTTTGTTTTTGTTTTTAAATTTTATTTATTTTTAGAGAGGGGGAAGGGAGGGAGAAAGAGAAAGAGGGAAATACTGATATGAGAGAGAAACATCGATTGGTTGCCTCTTGTAGACACCCCATCCAGGGACTGAACCTGCAACCAGGCATGTGCCCTGACTGGAGTCAAACTGGTGACTCTTTGCTTTGCAGTATGACGCCCAACCAACTGAGCCACACTGGTCAGGGCTACACTGTTTTTATCTGGTAAAACTGGTGTACAGTCACAGCAGACTCTTTTCAAGGGAAATGGTATAGGTATAGGCTCATGTGTTCTGAACATGGCAGAGGGCCTGTAATAAACAGAAAAGGCTTATTATGTCAAGAAGGCTATGTAACAAGTAAAGCCCATGCAGTTATTTCTGAGGAGCCTATATTAGTAGACCCCCCCCCACACACACACAGTAGTCCCTCCTTATCTGGGGGGAAGGGTGCGTGTCAGAACTCCCAGGGAATGCCTGAAACTGTAGATAGTACTAAACACTATATATTCTGTTTTTTCCTATACATAGATACATACCTCTGATACAGTTTAATTTATACAGTAGGCACAATAAGATTAACAATAGTTAATAATAAACTAGAACAATTGTAACCATATCCTATAATAAAGGTTATGTGAATGTGGTCACTGGTTTCAGGGGATCCCTTGCTGAAGTCTTCATGTAGGCTCAGTACTTTCTGACAGCATGTTGCCATCAATTGGAACACTTGTCTGTTTGTGTCATTCACTTACAAATTTAATGTCTTTTCCATCTTAACTAAGCACTTATCACACACTGTGGCTGTAACTTTTTCAGTTTTAGGTGCAGCAGCAAAACTAGCATGAATTTTTTTTCCTTCACAATTTCACAGGTAGAGGATTTTTTCTTACCGTAGATCTTAGCAACTTCAGCGTATGATTTTTTAGTTTCCTTTTGAGAACTTTCACCTTCTTTGCCAACAAATTGCCAACATGACAACTTTTGAACTTTGGAGCCATCGTTAAGTAAAATAAGGGTTATTTGGACACAAGCGCTGTGATACCACAACAGTCCATCTGATAACTGAGATGCTACTAAGTGACTGATGGGTAGGTAGTGTATACAGCATGGATACGCTGAATGAAGGGCTGGTTCTCGTCCAGGCAGGACGGAGTGGGATGGCGAGAGATTTCACCATGCTCCTCAGAACAGCATGCAATGTAGAACTTAGGAATTATTTATTAGTTGCTTATTTTTGGAGTTTTCCATTTAATATTTTTGGCCCATGGTAACTGAAACCATGAAAAGCAAAACCATGGCTAAGGGGGCGTTTTACACACATATGTTTTATGTTAAGTATATATTATACTTACAAAGTTAGATGGTACTAGAACATTTGTAATGAAGAGCAATAGTTTCGTACTCTGTCCCTCCCTGCTCTTGATTATGCCTCTCTAGAACCAACTACTTTCAGCTTTTTTGGCTTTCTTCTGATACCTATTTTGTGCTTTTAAAGAAAATCCTGATGCTGCCACTTCTTGACTTTCTAGTTTTAGATACATTGCTTTCAGTAACAGAAGATGCAGACTTGTGATCTGTCAACATATTGCCATTTCTTCCCCTTCCCCTTTCCACATCTTTTAAATGTTTTTAGATGAATTATTATTATTTGATGTTTACATTATAATGATGACAAATTCACAGCTGAGCCATGTGGTATGCTATGAGCATTATTCCTTTTTCACGTAACTATGTTTTTCCTGGCATTGTTAACTGCCTCCCTTTTTCATTTGCCTAGTTTTCTTTTTGCCTATCATTAATTCATACTCAAATTCTCCAACAAAATTATAGAACTCATCTTAAAATGTCAAACATATAAAGTAGTTTTTTCTTTCCTTCTTTTTTGCCCCCCGGAAGTCATGCCTCCCAAGCCCTCTCTCTTGATGCTCTCATCTGACTGGTCCTTCTCTAGGCCTGTTACACAGCTGTCATCTTAAACTTTCATTTTTTCATATTAGGAATTGCTTCTATCCTTCCCTGTGTTAGAGCCCATGTTTCTTAATCTCATTTTTTCCTCTTTCTTGGTTGTTTCCCTTGTGTTGTTCCCTTGTATTGTTTCCTTTGTATTGTATTGTAAAACTTCCTTTAGTAGTTTTCTGAGAAAGAGTTTATGAAAGGTAAACACTTTGAGAATTTACATGTTTGAAAATGCTTTTGTCCACATCTGATTGGTAATTTGGCTGGGCTATAGAATTCTGTATTAGAAACTTTTTCCTCAGAAGTTTCAAAGGCATTTTCCTGTTGTCTTTTAGCATTCAGTGTTGCTGTTGAGAAGTCTGATGCTACTTGGATTCCTGATCATTTATATGTGACCTAATTTTTTTCTTTTTATTCCAGTATTCTGAAATTTCAACAGTGATGTGCCTATGACTTCATTCATTGTGCTGTGCACTCAGTGGACCCCATCATTCTGGAAATTCATGGCTTTTATTACTGATTATTTCTTCCCTCCATTTCCTTTCTCTTGTTTTTTAAACTTCTGTTAATTATTGAATAATGGTACTCTTGAACTAATCCTTTGATTTTATGTTTATTTATTGTTTTCTATATTTCTGTCTATTCTGCTTTATGAAAAATTTCTTCACTTATAAATCTGTTCAATTTTTAAATATATTCAACCACGTACTTAATTTCTTTTATTTTAAAGATTTTATTTTCTTTTAGAGCAGTGAAGGGAAGGAGAAAGAGAGGGAGAGAAACAGCAGTTTGCGAGAGATACATCATCTTTTGGCTGCCTCACATGCCTCCAGCTGGGGACCTGGCCTGCAACCCAGGCATGTGCCCTGACTGGGAATCAAACCAGCAGCCTTTTGGTTTGCAGGCTGGGGCTCAATCCACTGAGCCACACCAGCCAGGGCATACATACTTAATTTCTAAAAGCTTGATGTTATTCTCTATTTCTTCTATAGCATCTTATTCTTTATAGTGTCTTCCCTTATCTCTTTGAGAAGTACAGGTTTTAAAAAAAAATTGGAGTTATATTCTGCTCTCAGCAATTTTTGGTTTTTTCAAGCTCCTTTTTAAAAAATTTTATTTTGGTCTTAGACTTTCATGTTAGAAGCTGTCATCAAATGTCTGGTGATATTTGGCTGTCCTTTCATTTTTAAAGTGAGGCATCAAAAGGAGCTTGGAAGGTGTCTTCGTCCATTTAGGCTGCTAGAACAAAATCCCATAGACTGCGTGGCTTGTAAACAACAGAACTTTATTTGGTGTTTTCGCTGTTCAGCATGCAGACTTTCACTGAATCCTCACTTTCAGCGTCGGTGCCTCTCCTCCATCATCGCCCGAGGAACGCTGTGCCACAGCCCAGAGCCTCACATTTCAGCCTTTCTACTGATTCCTCATCTTCAGTTAGAATGAGAAAAGAATTTGCCTGACTTCCCATGCTGGGAAAGCAGAGCTGGGGCTGCAGCCACTTTTTATAGCCCTCCCTATAACTGTCCTCTGGTGTTTGCTTGCGCTCTACACCTCGGCCTCCACAGAACCTGAGGTCTCCCTTTCCCAAGACTTTCTGGGCTCTTTGGAACGAGTGGTTTGTCTCTTAGTGACTTTCCACCTCCAGGCTCTTAGCTTTCAGCTTTTCGTGTTTTATATCGTCTTACCTACTGTTGTCTCTTCTCCTATTCTCTTTTTCCTCATAAGTATATACCTTTATATATATATTTTATAAATTCCTTTATGATTATTTGAGTTGGGTTTGTAGAGGAACCTCATGAAACGTATGTGTTTAAACTACTATGTTTAACCAAAAATTTCAGGGCTTATTCTCATTTTATGTATTTCTAGTTCGACTGGGTATCTGATTTTTGAGCAAAGAGCACATTAGAGACTTCGGAGTGAAATAAACCTAGGTTCAAATTCTAGCTCTGCTATTACTGGCTACTTGACTGTGGGTAGATTACTTAAGCTCTCTGAGTCTCATTCTTTTCCTGTATAATAGTGATCATATTTTCCAACTCATAGAATTCCTGTGAAGATTAATTGAAATACAGACTTTATAAATATATATTGCAATGCCTGTCACATAGTATAATGTCCCTAATGGTTGTGGCTGTCATCATCATTTATTAACAGTAGCAGCATCACTATCAATTAGAAGAGAGGTATAGGGCACATTATGGGCAAGCCTCCTTAGAGCCTTGAGAAATTATAGGAGCAGCAATATTGGGGTATCTGAATGAAGTCAGATTATTTTTATGGTTCAGTAAGCATGTAGATATTGCAGTATAATAACTGATACTCATACTGATGATTTGAAATAGCAAAAAGTTTCAATGTTCTTTATAGTATATTTAAGAAGACAAAGAAATGTAATTAAGATGATTCCTATCTAAAATTTTAATGGTAAAACATATTATGTCTGTATTAAATCTTGCTGTCTATATGGAAAACTTAGTTGTACAGAATAATTTGTTTGCTTGAAGGTTCCATGTAACTGAGATTTTACTTTTAGGAGCCATCACATCGGTAGTATAGGTGTCTGACCTTGTTAAGAAAATTTGACCAGAATTTTAAACTCAGTAGCTATGGTTTTGTCCTGTGTTACATGCATATTTACTTAAATACCAGCTACAACTCATAAAAATACAGATTTTCTTCCCCTCAAAATACACCCTCCCTTTCCCCTTTAAAACTACCATTTTGAGACTGGAGATTAAGTGAAAAGAAATTGCTTTCTTAAACTATTACAAAATTTAAAAAATAATCCTATACAAATTAAGAATATAATTTAAACTTTTATGTTTTAGTTAATTTATTTTCAAAATAATTAAGTTGTAAATTATTTTGCTTGCTTTTTAACATATTTCTGTGTAATTGAATGTTGCTTGCTACAATAAACTGTTTAATTTCTTATAGATCAATGATACAATGAACAGTGCAAAAACTGAACATACAGCTACAAAAGGAACTCCAGTGGAAAACAAACCAGATCTCAAAGCATCAACTGACTCTAATGCCATTTTACATTCATCTTTGGCAACTAATGCTTCTAATCATAATAGTTGTGTGGTGGATATGCTAAGGAAAAATGAAGGTATAAAGACAGTGTTTTAAGTAAAGCTAAAGCTTTTTATAATGATAGGTAGTTTTAGAATCTTTGAAAAAGTAAATGTTATGTGGTTTTGATCCATTTTCAAACTAATAATATATCTACCATATTTACCCTAGTTAGAGTGATATGTGATGTCAAGATACCAAGCAAGCACTTGCCTGAATAGTAATGAGTAGTTATGGGCTATGGATTTTAAATGAAGAAGCTCTCATATGACATTAACATTTGGCCAGTGTGTTCGGTGTGACTATTCCATTACTCTATTTTCTTAGCATTTATTACTGTTTGATACTATTTATTTTGGGCAGAGATTTTGTATGTCTTGTTCACCTTCTATTTTTTCAGCACCCAGATTCATGCCTCGTAAATAGTAGTCACTTAGTAAATATTTGTTTAACAAGTAACTGGATTATCCTCAGAAATGTAGTTATTTATAAGAACTATTGATTAGCCAGTTGCATTCGTGGGAAAGCTTGTAATTTGGTGACCTTATATTTAAAATAAGTTTATTAGAATATTCTGAAGCCATTGAGATGTATTAAGCATTGCCTCTGATTTTAATATCTAAAATTATTTTATAAATCTCATTCTGATATGTCTCTGACATAGGAACATGTAACTTTAGTTTTAATTTGAAAAAATCATGACAGCTGATACAAATTTAATTACTCTTCAATGATTCAAACTTAGCAAGAGAAATATCTGCTTTATTTGCATTTTTCTTTATAAGTTGATGATAGATAAAAATATTCAAGGAAAATAATTTCCTATAATTTTTGTTATTTCATTACTTGTGGAAGAGGAGAGTACTTTTGTTTTACTGGTTTTTTAGTAAGAGTATCATTTGGTCAAAATAATAGAAGATTGGTCCTAGACCCAACTTAAATTTCTTTCTTATAGTGATTTCCAATGTCTGTCTTATAAAGAAGTTTATACTCTTGAAAAACAAATATGAACTTTGAGATTTCAAAATCTTAATACACTCTACATTCTACATCGTAAGGCAGTTTCAATAAAATGAATACTAAGCAAATGGGAAAACCAGAGTAGTTATAAAGTCATAGTACCTGATGCATTCATTCATGCATCACATACACTCAGATGCATGAATGAATGGCTACCCACTCTCAGGTTAACATGAGGAGACTGGGCTTTTTCTCTGCAGGTTGGAGTAGCTGGTATTTTTTAAGGGTGGAAAGTGACATGATTAGGTTTCTTTTTCGGAAATGGCAGTCTAGTCTCACCATCAGGAAGAACTAAGGTAGGAAATGATTGGGACACTTGATAAGGGGCTCCTTTAGGACTCCAAGAGAAGCGTAGAGACTAAAGCAGTGGGAGGGGTGGAGAGGAGAGAATACAACATTTTAGAAGCTTTTAGAAAGTAGTAGCTATTAGACTTGGAAACTGGTTATATATGAGAAATAAAAATGAGCTGAACATGACTCCCAGTTTTTGGGGTTGGACATTCAATGGATGATGATACTATTAATCAAGAATAGAAATATAGGAGCAAGAGTAAATTTGGGGAAAAGGTAGGTTCAACTTTGAACTTACTCTTTTTGAAGCACTTAAGGAACATACTTGGTGAAGATTTCTAATGGGCAGTTGAAAACTTAGATCTGGAGTCTAGGAGGCAGTTCTCGTCTGGAGTATAAATTTAGAATTTAGGGAATCTAAAATGTAAGCTCCACAGAGCAGGGACTCCATCTGATGTAGTCCCTGCTAGATACCCAGCAACTGGCACAGTGTCCATGATGTGTGTTTGAGAGATGTAGGATTGTGAATGGTAATTAAAGCACAGAAAAAATATGTCAAGGAAGTTAAGAAGAGGTTTAGGAGTACCTGTGTTTAAAGAATCCTGTGAAGAGGAGAAGCTAGCTAAAGAGATGAAAAGGGGTCCCTAGCAGGGTAGGGAAAGAACCAAAAAGATTGGTTATTTTTTTTCCCTCTACAGTAGGTATCATAGTTTGTGACTAGTGTATGCATGTCTCTCTCTACCACATGACTGTAAGTTCATGAGATGTAGAACACGCCTGCTTTATTTCACCATTGTAGAAACAAGCACAAAGTCTGGTAGACAGTAAATCCTCAGTTTTGTGGAATGAATATACACAATTCATAGACAGAAACAGCTTCCAAAAAGAGTATGTGGCCAGCATAGTGTACATTGCAAAAAGGTGAGGTAAATGAAAACGGAAAAGTATTCCTTAGAAATCATTGAAATTTGCCAGAGCCATTTTATTAAAAGTCTGTAGTGTTTTAGAAACCACATTTGGAGATGTCAAGGAAATAGAGACTACTCTGAAGGGAATTGGCGAGGACAGGTAGTAACTGGAGGAGACTTGTGGGGTCAAGGGAGATGAGAGTTTGCTTGCTAGACTCAATAATGCTATGGACTGAGAGCCAAAAACCTCTGAAGAAAAATAATTGTAAATTCTGAAGAGAGTGGAATGATTGAAGAGAGAGTCCCCAAATACGGGGGAAGGAATGGGACCAAGAGCACGGGAGGATAAATTACACTGCCTTAGGAGAAAGCTCAGCTCATCCCCTGCAATGGAAAGAGAAGACGGAGAAGATGGGCGCAGCCATAGACACCTTTCTGGTTTAAGGCAGGAGAGGACACAAAAGTGATGGCATTGATGCTTGATGACCTCTATTTTTCCCCCTAAAATGGAAAGCAAGGCCATTTGATGTATACTTTAATAGAATTTGATAGCAATGATTTAGTGGTTAAAATGGAAGAGGGAGCTGAGAAGTGGGACATCCACTGCGGATATAATACACTTTATTTTTCTAAACATTTTAAAAACTGATGGTTAATTCATATAGTCGACATTTGTGGTGCTCATGTTTATACTTTTAAAATTGAAAAATCCCAAGAACCGTATGACAAGAAGTATAAGATACAACAATTATCTGTTGGTATTATGTTAATAATTGACCTTTTCCCTTTAATTTTAGGTCCTCACACTTCAGCAAATATAGGTGTTCTAAATACTTGCCTGGACTTACGAACAGTAATTCCTGAAACTTCTGTATCCAGTACTGTTTGCAGCGCACAAACTATGGTAACCCAGCAGACCATTAAAACTGAATCATCCAGTACAAATGGGGCAGTTGTTAAAGATGAAACTTCACTAACAACATTCAGTACCAAATCTGAAGGTTTGAAATGTGTTTCACATACTGTATTTTGAACCATTCTTGTATATAAATTCATCAAACTTACTTGTTTTAAATGGGAAATGAAATGTTTCACATACTGTATTTTAAACCATTTTTGTATATAAATTCATCAAACTTATTTGTTTTAAATGGGAAATGAAATATGTTTCACATACTGTATTTTGAATCTTTATTTGTATACAAATTCATCTGACTTGTTTTAGACGGGAGTTGCATTTCACCTTGGATTGAATCATCTATAAACATATAAAGTATTTCAATTAAAATCATTATGTAATATACTCCCTGCTGCCTTGCATAAAATATTTAAATCAGTGCACACTGAAATATAATTATGTGAATATATTCAGCAAATTCTTTTTCCTTAGAAAAGACTATTTCTAGACCATGGAGTAACAATTCTCCCAGTTCGATTGACTTCTGATTTTGTAAATTCTTATCTTACTTTTTTACAATAGGAATTTGTTTCATCTTTGGTAAATGTTCTCTGAAGTTCTAGCTGGTTATTAAACTGTGGAAAAATCAACTTTGTGACTCAGTTTGAGTTAGAGGTTACATATTTCTAATTATTGTAATTTTTATACCTCTGGCTATTTTTGTATAGTTATAAATTATATTTTAATGTGTCTGGTAAGTGATTATGTAAGTCTTAATCTGATGAATTGTTTCACTTTTAGTTGATGAAACATGTGCACTGCCTGCAACCAAGATCAGCCGTGTGGAGGCACACACCACAGCGATGCCATTTTCTGTAAGTATGTGACCTAGAGACTGTGTGTGTTTACCGATGGCTAAGTATGCCTTAAATGCTGAGCAGCTTTGATGTAAATTCACAAAAACATTCCTGGGTGTCCTCTAGTAATGATTTGACATAGATTGAAAGATGAAGGGGTGAGTAGGAAAAATGTTCACAGTAACGTTAAGAGAAAAGAGTTGGATAAAAAATTATGCACACACATACACACAGATACATGCATACTGTGGTCCCAATTTTATTAAAAATACAACCATCCCTGGCCAGGTTGCTCAGTGGGTTGGAACGTCCTCCTGAGAGGCCAAGGTTGCAGGTTCACTTTCTGGTTAGGGCACATTCAAGAAGCAACCAGTGAATGCATAAATGAGTGGAACAACAAACTAATGTCTCTCTCTCCTTCTCTCTCCCCGTATTCCTCTCCCACTTCCTCTCTCTAAAAACAATTTTAGAAAAATACAGAACATTTTAGAAAAATACACCCAACATATACATTCCTATTTCACCTGAGTCCACACTACAGTGCTAGATGAATTTTTCCAGGTGTGGGGCTACAGACAATTTTTACTTTCTTCTTTATGCTTTTAATATTCTTCTGTAATGAAATATGTTACTTTCATAATCAGAAATGTGTATGTGCATATATAGGTGTATATATAAATTACGTTAATGGTTTTAAGAGTAAAAGTTATGTTACAGAAAGTAAAAGTTGAATGGCTATATCACTAGCAACAACAGAACAACAGAATATTTTGCAGTATTGGGTTAGATATGCCTATAGGATATCCCATTAATCTCTGACATTGGGTTGTTTTGTGGAAGGCCAGAATTGATCTGCCTGGCGCCAAACTTAAAATACTAAAATGTGCCTCACAAATATACCAAGACTATCTTAATTAGATAAATATAAGGACAGTACATATTTGTGTGCATGTGTATCTATATACTTTTTAATTTATTTTTAAATTACCAATCATTTCAATTTTATTGCTGTGAGCTAGAGTTTTTATTTGACCTAATATTTACTCTTTAGAGTCTTCAAGAATTGTCTATATCTTTAGCTTTTTCCAATCATGATTTTGTGGATTTTGGAAATATATTTACCTTCATCAGCTTTTACCTTTGCAGAATGTTAAGTTTTAGTGTTCTTAGACTTTTCACAGAGAATTGTTATTAAAATTAACTTTTTTCTCTTAAATCTACTTTGCAATGCATCAGCCAGAATATTAATATTTATTATTTCAGTTGGAGCCTGTTTTATAAAAATTGTTGTGTTTCTACAACATTAAAAATGAAAACAAGCTCAAAGCTATTCCTTTCTTTAAAAAATAGACCTTAAACACTCATAGTTAGCTCCCTTTGTCATGTGTGATAGCCTAAATAACAAATAATGTCAATTATAAGCATGTACCTCTACTGTTATATATTTAAGACAAAAATAAATAACTGAAGTGCACATTTGTTTTGAGCTTCTGGAAACAGTATCTCATTTATAAAGAAGATGGCTTAAAAAGCTTAGTTCCAGGGATAAGTATAATTCACTTATCACTAAAAGTAGCTTAAGGTAGAGGAAGTTTGTTTGTTTTAAAGCAAGGTAAAAAATGTGAAACTGTTTAATTTGCTCCTCTTTAGTATATATACTAAAATATACTCAAATTGCATTTTAGTTTTGAACATTTTTTCTCCTTTTAGGTTTGGAGATTCACAGGTATTTCAAGTGCAAAGATCACTGCATTTCTGCTAGTTGTTTTTGAATCCAGAAATAAGCCAACTTAGAATGACTTTTTTTTCTTATTAGCTCCTTTTGGAGCAAGTTATAATGTCACACTAAAGGGATTACATTTTCTGAGAGAGTCTCTGAAATGACAGTGTTCTATAAAACAGCTGGCGTTTGAACATACCACTGATGGGAAAGCACGCTAACTCGAGCTAGGTTGGTCGTACAGAGCTACTGACTCGGAGAATGCCTGTCACTCCCTATGTTTGAATTGGCGTCCCTGTTCCACTGTCAGTTGACCTAATCTGCTAAGAGTTTACTTATGAACTATTAATGTTGGGTTTACCCATATACCTACCTGTAGATCACTGCATGGATTTATTAAATTGTGAAATTTATTACATGCTCAATAAGAGTCTTCATAAATTTTTCTTCCTCTGAAATTAGAAAGAGACTCCTTCCAATCCAGCAGCCACAATGAAAGCAGGAGGAGAACGGCAGTGGTGTGATGTAGGAATTTTTAAAAATAATACAGCTTTGGTGAGCCAGTTTTATTTGCTGCCAAAAGGGAAGCAAAGCATCTCAAAGGTACCTATTGATACATTTTCTACACTGTAAGTTATAAGCCTCAAGAATGCGGGTTTTATTTCATTACTTTGATTGGAGTCCCTTGAATGTGGGAAATTGGAACCTCACCGTCTATAATTGAGAACTCTATAATATATACCTAATTACCTTGTATTCTCTTTAAAGGACCTTTTTATAGAATATATCAAAAGCAGGTCACTTTAAAAAATCTTGTACAATCACTGGGCTGGATTTTGAGTCATAAATTATATAGTCTGGCTGGTAAGATAAAGATTTTTTGAAATATCTCTAATTTTGTGATGTGATGTGTTTAGAAAATAGAGTATTTTTTCATACTCTGAACTTTATTTCTGATTTCACAATTAAAAAGTTTAAAAGCCCCTGTAGACTAATGAATACAATTTAATTTTCCCTTGATCCTGAAATCCCCTAAAGAGGAACATGAATTTATATTTGACATTAACCCTATAAGAATTGTGAAATAGAAAACAGCTTCAAAGCATACTGAACCATTTTTTTTTAAATCTGCATTGGGAGCTTTCAGAGAGAATTGCCAAGGAGATAGATATTCAGTTTGAATCTCCCAAAGATCTGCATAAATGCAGAATATTTCATTTATCATATTTTAGTTTTTTTAATATTACTTTTGGTGTCCCTCTTTTTCATATTGAGTTCATCTAATTCCTGGGGAAAAAATAGAAATCTTGGTTACTAATTTGTTGGTATTACGCCTAATAAAATTTCTGGCTGCAGTTTGATTTCATATATAAGGAAATATCCATGTAAGGTCCGAGCAGCTACGTATTTTTCCCAAAAAGTAAAAAGAGCTTAATATTTAGAACGAGTAAACTTGGGTTTCAGTGATTAATTCCAGCATTCAACAGTGTGACCTTGGACAAGTTACTCATTTAACTTTTCTGAGACTCAGTTTCCTCATCCATAAAATAGAGATGACATAACTCCCTTAAAAAGGGATGATACATTGGTGCTACATGTTTCACACATGTGCAGTAAGAGTTGGGGGAAATATGTAAAAAATATTTTTAAAGTTGTGTTATAATCTTCCTACCCAGAGTATGAAATCCAGTTATTTTAATTATTTATTCAGCATGGAGATGAGATAGTTATTACCTTGTTTATAGTGGTTGTTAATTTTTGCTACCTACGTGCTCTTCATATACAGAATACCCTTACAGTTCTTATAAGCAGTGATTCTCAGCTGGAAAGGGCACTTTTTCTCGGAATAAGAATCACCAATTTTGTCTTAGTTGCTTTTGTATTGGAGGGGCTCATCCATATGTGATAAGAGGGAAATAAATGTGAACTCGAACCATAAAACTTAATTCATTCTTTAAAAGTTTTAACTAAAAATAATTGCACTTTTTCTTTACTGTTACATTTTAGATAGGAAATGCAGACGTACCTGACTACAGTTTACTTAAGAAACAAGACCTTGTTCCAGGGACAGGATACAGATTCAGGGTTGCTGCTATCAATGGTTGTGGAATAGGCCCTTTCAGCAAAATCAGTGAATTTAAAACTTGTATTCCCGGTTTTCCTGGAGCCCCTTCTGCAGTCAGAATTTCAAAGGTGAGATGTCAGGTTAAGACTTGGTGACTTAAATTATTGAAACTATGTGCATGAAATAAAATTGTCAGTTTAGAGATTCTTGTTAGTGTCCAATGTAATGAGAGATACTAAAAAGGGGAAAATTAAAATTTTTTAAAATATATTTTTACTGATCATTCACAATATTTTTAAAGACCAAATTTCAAGCAGAATTACAACATCCAAATTATAGAAATTCGGGGAAATCTGGTATGCTTCTTAATATTAATTTTGTTCTTGTTGTTTATGGAACCAAAAAGTTTGTGTTGGAAAATTTTAATGGAATACATGAAATTGGATTATATTTTATCCTAAGGTCCTACCTCACCTTAGAGAGGAAAAGGTCTGCTTCCAAGCAAGAAAAATCCCTTTCTTGGGATAGTACAGGCAGGCATTTAAGCCTAGGTATGTTTTTGAAAAGTGGACATAAATTAAACATTTGCAGATCCAATTAAGGTAGGTTTTTAAAACTCAACAATAAAAGTTCTAACGTCTAATGCAATTACCTTAGCAAAAGCAGCATTTTGTGTTGTAAAGATAGAATCAACGTAAGTGATAGTAGAGAAAACTTCAGAACCTTCACCTGTTTTTTTCCCTCCTCTCTTCAAGAATGTTGAGGGTATCCATCTTTCCTGGGAACCTCCAACTTCGCCTTCTGGAAATATTTTGGAATATTCAGCCTACTTGGCGATCCGCACAGCACAAATACAAGATAATCCAAGTCAACTTGTGTTTATGAGGATTTATTGTGGTCTTAAGACATCATGTATAGTAACTGCTGGGCAACTTGCAAATGCACATATTGATTATACATCCAGACCTGCCATTGTGTTCAGGATATCAGCAAAGAATGAAAAGGGATATGGACCAGCTACACAAGTTCGATGGCTTCAAGGTAACAGTAAAAAAGCACCTTTAAATTGAATTTCTTTTTTACTAAAGCTATTTGTGATTATGATTATTTATTAGTAACTGGTTATGAAGATTTGTCACTTAAAAGAGTATTCTTTGTATTTCTAGCAGTTATGAATTTGAATTTGTAAGTTGTTCTTAAAATGTATTTGCTCAATTCTAGATCCAAATAAAAACAAAAGAAGCAAAGACTCTCTGAGAATTAGTATATGGATTCTTCATTATAGTTATAGCTTTTTCACAAAGGAAAATAGTAAGATAAAAGCTAGAAGGTTTTATTACCCCAGTATATTTTATAAAGGCCACGTCACTCAGTCATCTTAGAGTTGTCAAGGTGATTCTGGTAACTGGCTGTTGTACAACGTGCTGTCGTACATAGTAAATGTTCTCTATGTTGTAAAGGCCCTGTCTTTGCGTGCCCCCGAACTTTATTGTGTATGAGCGGTGTTCCTCTAACAGCTGTCTTCTACTGGATAATAGAATGTTTGTGATATTAATTGTAGCAGCCATTTAATTTCTTTGTTTATCTACAGTTAGCACAGAGCTTAAGAAATTGAAAAAAAGGCAAGTTCAGAGACTCTGCTTTTGAATTTTTTTTATTTTCCAAGAATCATAGCAAAATATAGTGGGTTTTCTTGATTCATACCAAGGTGATATATTGGAATATATTTTTGGCCAAAGCACTCAATTTTGGCCCTTAATTTCTTAATTAATAGATGAGAGAGTTAAAAAAAATTTTACCTATAAGTCCCCTTTTAGCACTTAAATTCTGTATTTTCATCAGAATGAAGTATATCCTTGAACAATTTAACCTCTGTTTTCCTGGTCCTAACTTTTCTTTTGCTGAAATTAAAACATTCATAATTTAAAATCAAAATTAAAGTATATGTCCCCCTTATTGCAGAAAGGAATAAGCACCTTAAAAGGACACAAATTTTGAAATAGTGTTTTAAACATTTGTAAGATTTTTGTAAATGCTCTAAATGTTTTATTTTTGCATTATTTTTACCTCGAAATTGTATAAACTTTTTTACAACTGAAACATAAGCATTAGGTAGCTTACTCAGGTTCCATTACAACCTTAAAGACCCAGATAGGCATTATGCATACTCTGCCACAGACAGCCTGTTTTAAACCTTTTAGAAATTTCATGGTTTCACTGCCTATTCAAATCGGGAATCAATATACAGAGCAATAATTGAAGAAAAGATATTTCCAACTAGGAGCTGCAGTAACTGCAGGGGCACAGGTCTCTCTTTTTTATACCGTGTAACCTTACGCCAGTGTAGTTTGAGTAGCTATGTCCTCCAACTTCATGTATAATACTCCCAGAAAAGATAGATTTAATAAATGTGCAGAATTGATATATATGTATGTTCCAGTTACTAATTTAAAGTGTATAGAATATTTTAATATATAATTTTTGTAAAGAGCTGGGATTTTTATACTACAGTATTTGTAATTAATGTGTTTCACTAATTAAGTTTCTCTTGAAGAAAATATGCAAATTGTTAGATGCGTAATGAGTGATTTCCAAACTCTAAAGGTAAAATAAATGCACTACTATGGTGTTGTTAGAATACCCTTTTTTGTGACTGTATGAATCCTTAATTTTTAAATGTGTACTTTACAAACAATGTTTACAAGGAGCTTCTCTGGTTTGTTATCCCAGCACCTTCCTTGGTGAGAGCTTCATTCTGCATTTGTTTAACTCATATGCTTTGCTTTTAGCATATGCTTGCTTTTTTCACTAGTAGAATTTTAACTTACCTCATTATTATGTTTGTAATCATTTGTATAGCTTCCATAATGTGTTTGATATAGTCTAAACAAATACGTAACCAAAGTTAAAATAAACGGTAAGCAATTTTGCACATATTAAATGCTAGGGTTTGTTGTATATGTGTGCGCATTTAGTTATAAAAAGAGTAAGAATGGAAAGCTATAGCAAGTATATGTTTCAAGCCCAATTATTTTAAAGATCTGTTCATTTCATTAGAAAAAGGTCTGGCTTTTACCCCTTATTCTTTGCATTAACAGTTTGCATCTTGAAGCACTTCTCTTAATGACAAGAAATAAGCTGACTTTAAGCAAAGAATAGAGTATTTGTTCAAGTGTACGCGTTTATACCTATTTAGTATTTGGTTTAATTTACTTTGCTTAAATGCCTCTATTGTTATAAACCAGGAGGTGAATATGAACCTTTGGTTCTAACATTTTATTTTCTAGAGAGAAAGGCATTCTTTTTCTACCAGGGGATTTGTTAAAATAACTCATATTTTTACTTTGAGGATTAGACCAGAGTCTGATATTTTTTTAGCATTTGTACATGAAGTACTAGCCACATTTATCTCTCTGATAAGTGATTGGTGACTGAAAGATGCCGCCGAGAAATCTCAGTGGCTTTTTCATTAACAGTTAATAAGAGATCTTTGACCTGTGTGTTCATGACTAGAATGGATTGGGGTAAATGATAAGAGAAGTGCATTTACCTTCTTATGATTGGCATGTTTTTAAGTGAAGATCCCTTTGAGTAGCAGTGGACTATATTATGCAGATATCATAGGAGGATTTACAATTATTTAAATTAGTTTCTTCTCCCAGCTGAATAAGCAATTCAGATGTACAAGTCTTTGCGCCACAGTCTTCTTCCTGGGCTCTGCAACTTTCATTCGCACATGTAGTAAAAAGATTTTGATGTTGCATGCTCTTAGAATTATGTTTTCTAAAATATTGTATTGGTCTCATTTCAGTTTAGTAAACTTTTGGCAATTTAACTAGAAATAGGGTATTATAAACTCACTTTCATCTGCATTTTTTAAAAAATGGAAATAATCTGATTGCATGTATAAGGCCCCCTTGCCCTATAACTGAATTACATAAATATAATCATCTATAAGAAGGTGAAACTGTTGATCCATTATTTCAAAGATTTGTAGACTAGCAAAGATTTGTTCTGATTAGAGATATGGTCTACTATAAAGAAGATATTTTTATTTTTAAAAATTGCAGCACTTGTAGCATAAAAATCATTTGTAACATTGGATATAAAGAGATTATTAGTATTTAAATTATTATAGTCATCTGGTCATAAATGAACTAGTTTGCAAAATGGACTTGGTCTTTGACCATTTAAGCAGGTATAACTGACAGTTATGTTTTCTAAGACTGATTTTAGGCAGTTTTATGTATTGTGTACCAATGATATGTAAAATAAAGCACCTTTTCTACTACAACCAATTACAGCTGTTATTTATTTTGAACTATGTGAAAGGAAAATTAGTGATGGCAGAGTAAATCTGTACAAATGTGGATTTTTATATTAGTCACTTAAAATAATATAGGCAGGTTCATGAAGAATGTATTGCGTCTAAAATCTTATTTCTAATTTAGTGGATGGTGTTTGGGAGTCATCGTCTTACAGGAGTGTAAAGCCAAACCCTAATTAGAGCTGAACTAGTATGCTTAGAAGTAAAAAAGCAAATGGCTCGAAACAACAGTCTTGACTTCTTGTCACCTCTTTTTTGTCTTCTTTTTACTCTTTAAATTTTTTTTATTGGCATATAATATTAGTTCCAGGTGTACAACATAGTGACTCAATATTACATACCTTCTAATATGATCACCACAGTAAGCCTAGTGCCCGTCCGTCGCCTTGCAAAGCTATGGCATAACTGACTGTTCCCTGTGGTGTACACTGTACATCCCCATGGCTTATTAACTTACGGTGGGAGTTTTGTACCCCTTATTCCTGTTCTCCTTTCCAGCCGCCTCTACAGCCCCCCTCTGGCAGCCATCGGCTTGTTCTCCGTTATCTGTGAGTCTGTTTCTGTCTGGTTGTATTTATTCATTTACTTTATGTTTTTAAACTCTAGATATAAGTGAAGTCTACTCAATCTTGAATTTTTTTGCCTTATGCTTTTCACCCATTTTTAACTCACAGCAGCCAGATTTCTGTCTTTTTACAACATCAGAATGGCTTTAGCAAAGGTCAGGGATAACTTCTCATTTCCCAGATCCAGTGAATTCTTTGACTGTATTTAGCCATGTCACTTGAAGCTCTTGACCAGTCTTTGGACACTTCCACAGTTTTTAGTTTCTGTGATGCCACGCCCCGCCTTTCGCTGTGCACCTTGGGTCCTCTTTCCCACTCCTGCTGGTCGCCATCCTTTTCTTTTTCAAGGTTCAGGTCAAAGGTTGCCAACCTGGTGATACCTTTTCTGACACACTCCACTTCCAGGTAGTTTTGACCTCTTCTTCTTGTCTCCGCGATGTCCTTTGTTGTATTTTCTGTCATAGTGGCCTCTAACTGCCTGCCCTTACTTGTTAGAATTGTTCTCTCCCTCTGCAGGATGGTAGGTCCCTGATTCAGACACTGGGTCTTTATATTTCTTCGATATTGCTCATTTAGCCGGTACTTAAATATTTTAACAAATTACTAAAAAAGATTGTTCCCTTTACATCTCTCCATACTTTCCCTCCCCCTTCTCAAGTTGGGGTAAAAATGGGAGGGAGGCTTTGAAAGGAAAAGAGGCTTTAGCAAATTTAATAAGGCTTTGGATGAAATACAGACTTCAGCTTTGACCTGCCCTATCCTATTACTTAAATTTGTAAGAGAAGTTCTGTGATAAATAAGGGATGTGTCACATGTTTGCTAGGCTAAGAGGGGTTTAATATAAGTATGTATAGATCTCAAGAGGAAGTCTTTGGTCTAAAAAGACCTGAGCATTTAGTGAAATCAGGGGACATTGCTGGATTATGACTTTTAACATTAGATGATCAGGAGAATGAGCTAAAAATATTTTCAAAGTTAATCCCTCCAATTTCCATAGAGGAAAGCATGGGTAATTTTCTAACATTAGAAAGAAACTACCTGTTTTTAACATTTAAGCACAGAGAACTGCTGGAGGACACAGAACACTAGCATTAGAACCACACTGAATTCCATTACATATCAAATTAGATCACTCTTGTCACCTCTGAGCTTATCGGACCAAGGATTCCTACACTACTGGAAAACAAAATGACATTGGCACAGCTTCCTTCCGAGTTTCCCAGGTGTAGCTGGGAATGCCTATGCTTGTATATCCCTGTCACTCAGGGAGAGCCTTTTGTATCATACATGGAAAAACAGGAACTGCAACATTCGGGGGAGAAACAATAAATTCTGTAAACAGCAGGAAGAAAGAAAAGGCTATAAAATGCAAGGTTACTTCGTGTTCCAAATAGATTTCTTTCTGTTAATGGTATCCATTTGCTGCTTTTCCGACCTCTGCAGACATAAAATCAGGAAAGTGTCCACTCGTGGGTCTGTTACTCTCAGCGAGCGAGTGCGGCGAGGGTCTTTTTGTATTTGGTGTCTTGGATATCTTAAATTGAGCAAGAGTCTGGTACTTAAAGTTCATCACATTCACAGTCTGACTGCCTCTCATGCCAGTACCTCAGATTCAAAAGTCTTGAGAATACAGTTATGAAGCTTTTGGCCTTGGACAGAGAGAAGGCTAGGGAGTCATAGGTATGAGGTTGTGGAAGCAACAGAAGATTTCCTATTTCCTGATTTGATTTGCTGGTTCCGCAAAAAGTCTTGGCAGAATACTCAGAGATGTCAAGGGGTTTACGTATAACCTCTGAAGATAAATGCAAAAAGCATGAACTGGTGGCATATCAGATATGGAAGCTGTGGTCCCTCATGGTCCCTCATCCCACCCACTCCCCATCCTGGTCTCTACCACCCAGAAGCTAAAGGAGACATCATCCATTCCTCAGCCTGAGAATTGAGGAGGATACAAAGAAAACCCTCTGTGTCTGAGCATCACAAGTTAAAAAAAAAAAAAAAAAAAAAGGTAGCAGCTGGTATTTGTTTTTGATCATAGAGTTAATTCTTTCACTAGTAAATTGTGATCCAATAGATATCCAGCTCTGAGCAAGAGAATTATCAATTCCTCTGGGGAGATAGAGTCAAGTTCCCTAAGAACTTGAAAAAGGTTCTCTCCTCCTGTCTCTGTTTCTTACAGGAGAGGGAAGAAAAAGCCACAGGTATGGTAATTACCATCCAGTACAACATGGGTGAGCGTGGACCCCTGTGGCAGCATAGCATGTGAGAAAGTGGGCAGAGCGCTGAAGGTCCAGCTATTTGATCCAAAATCAATTTGCTGTCCGTTGCAGCCTGGCACCCCCTGGTGGCAGTTGCCCATTCCAGTTTAAACATGGGTGAGATTTGGGTCTTGTAGCCACGTCAGACTTTTAAAATAGTTGCAGCAATGCCTGGAGCTTTCTGATGAGCTGGCACCCTTGTGTTAGACCCAGGTGGTGAGACTGGACCTGGGGAATCTACTTTCTGCTTCCACATTTGCTGGGAGTGGTTTGCCAGGCAGGTACTGCCGGGCTCAGTCCACCTGTTGCGCCAGCTCCCTGACTCAAGAGAATCGCTTTAGCCTGCCCTGTTTGGGTACAGGGGATAGAGCGAATCATTCGAGATCTTTCTCTTTTTTCCAAATTTTTAAATTTGTACCAAAATTGATAGCCAATACCCTAAATCAGGAGAAATTGTACCTTAACTGTGTCTTGTTTTATCTGCAAAGTGTCACTGCCAGTGATGACCTTGGCAAAGACACGACTGAAGAATTGTCTATGACATTTGTGTGACCAGCCTGACACCTGTGACTGATCGAGGTGGAGAAACCGCCAATAGCCTATCCACTTTCTGCATTTTTGGATTACTTAGTACTTTAATGCACTATTAGAAGAATGTGCCAAAGGGAATTTGTACTTTTGAAAGTCAACAGAACTGAGTAAAGAGGCGGCATCCTTGTCAGTTTATTTTGGCATTTGCATCCTCTATCATTTCATTCTCACTTCATATAAATAATTAAACCCAGTGAACAAAGTAACCAGTTAACTAGAATCATGCCGGTGACTCTCAGCCTGCTTGGCAGAGTGGTACTATCACAGTGCTTAAAGGGTAGCCTCACTGGGTCCTGAGCCTACGGGAGCCTAGTTAACTTCTGTGAGGAATCGTCCATACACGCTCCATTTTTCATATTATCATGTGGTTCTTCCCCTCCAGTTACAATAATTGGCTAATTTGCAGTGAATGGCAGTGGCTGAAATATTAGGGAGATGTTCCCTCTCTTCGTTGATGAAATTATGTATCACATAACTGCATACCTTTTTTCTTTTATATAATTTGTTGTGAAATAAATGATCATGCATAGACTTAGCCATCAGCTGAAGAACTAGAACATTTTCAGATACCTAGAATCCCCCATTTCTCCTCCCTCCACATACACCATAAGAGGTAAACATTATTCTGGAGTTTTCTGTTAATAATTCCCATGTTTTTATTTATATCTACCATCTATGTATGTATCCCTTGTAAGTTGTTTAGATTTACCTGTTTCTGAACTGTTATGTAAGTAGTATTATGCTGTATGTATTCTTCTGTGACTGTTTTCTAACAGTCGTTTTTGAGGTTCCCATTCATGTATGCATGTAACTGTATTTCATTTGTTTTCACTGCTGTGTAGTATTCTGTTACATGACTATACCACAATTTATCTGTTCTCTTCATGGAGATTTGGGTTGTTTCCAGTTTTTGGTTACTAACAAACAATGCTCCTGTGTACATCTGCCAGTTACAATGGAAGCTCCATGCGGGCAGGGATTTTATCTGTTCTGTCGGATTTGGTCTGTTTAGACATTCACAATGTCCAGAACAATGCCTGGCCCATGGTCGTTACTCCACATATATTGGAGGAATGAACGGATTCTTGTATATATATCCTGGTGGCACTTTTGCAAGGGTTGTTCTAGGGCAGTTCTTTTCAAAGTGTGGCCTAGGGACCTCTCAGGGTCCCTGAGGTCCCTTCAGGGGGTCTTTGAGGGCAAAACTCTTTTCATAAAAACAGTAGATGTTGTTTGTCCTTTTCACTCTCATTCTTCATGAATTTAAATGTTTTCTGGATATACAATGACATCACACAGCTAATCAAGTGTGTACTTGTGTTTTTTTGTGTTTTGAAAATGTCTCTTTAATTTCTGATATGGCAAATGTTTATAAATATAACCCGCATGTACAACAGCAGTTTGAGATCCTTAGTAACTTTTAAGGATGTTAAGAGGTCTTAAAGCCAAACATTTGAGTACCGCTGCTGTAAGAAGCAGGTTTTACTTGGTCACGCTGAGCTGCCTTCTAAAGGATTTGTATCAGTTGACACCCCCACCGGCAGTGGCTGACGGTTGTTGCTCCACATTTCAGAAACACTTGGTCTTGACTGACTTTTGTGCTTGTCAGTTGGATGACTACTATTATACATTGTTCCTTAAATGTGGGTTTAATTCACATTTTCCTGATTACTAATAAGATTGATGTTTTTCCT